GTCCCGACGGGAGGAGAGAGACTGGCTGGTTTTTGTCGTGTTTTTCAGTTAGAATTTTGCGTATTTGCGTATGCGCATTTTTTAGTGGATTTAGATTTCAGATAATTGGATACTTTGCCGATTTTTAATGGATCAGCATTAATTTCATTGATTTCCCGCATTTTCAACAAAATTTTTTCCTCCTTAAAAAGTACAGAATTAGACCAATACGTCTTCTCAGCCACCCATTAAAAGACTCTCCGTTATATTCCGCTTTCCGGACGATAGGCAGCAATTTCTGAGTATTTTTCGAGGTTTTGAGATCCGTAAATAGTAAAAAATTCAATGCATAACTACGAATGAGTGAAACGTTTTTTGCTTGCGAGTACACATCTTAAAAAGTGTTGTTCCGTTATATTCCTCTTTCCGGACACGCGTTCGCAGTTTCTAGGTAACAAATTTGGCAACTTTTCAACAACTCAACTCTTCAACTTTTTGGCAACAAATTTATCAAGAAAAAGAGCCTTTTCATCTTTCAACCTTTTTTCAGCATCCTCTCTTCCGTTGTTTTCCTGCTTAAGGACAGTTCCTAAAGATTTTCCCCGATTTTTCAGTTCTAAACAGTAAGAAAATCATTATCCAAATACCACCTTACCACCCCTTTATCCCCATTTTGTCACCCTCATAAATTGCACAAAACGAGACCCGAGAGAACCCGGCGATTTCGGCCCACTGGGTGGTGGGTAATTCCGGTGGTGCGCGTGAATCATGCGGGCAATCGACTCCCCCTCTCTTTTTCTGCGGTCCATTTTCCGAACCAATCCATCCTTAACGGTCCGGCGATCGAGTGGCGGAGAAAGCCTTCCCGAAATCTAAAAACATGCCATTACACAGTGGCCACCACATCTTCGCTGCTCCGCGTTTGCCCTCACAAACAATCCATTTTCCTTCTTTTTTCCGAAAACGAGAAGAACATGCGAAAAATCACGGCCAGCTGGCGAGGGAGTTCATGGCCCACTGGGTTTTCCTATACTTGCGCTTAAACACCCGTAAGTATTTCTTAAGGAATTAATTAGTCTATGTGTAATCCTATGAATTAAGTTTTTGGCACTTTAAGGGGACTAGGAAGCGCTAGAATTGACGTCTGTTGGCGGCTAGGTCTCGACAGCTACACTGCGCTGCTGTACGCACTGCGCCAAATTTTATAATGAGCTAACCTTGAGCTATGATGATGTTTCCAACAACGCTTATACAGCGTATTTTCGCGCCTTTACTAGCTTTGCAGACCTAGTGGATGAATGGGTAGAATTTTGTTGATTTCCGACACCTTTAGAGGTGGAGTGACACGAGTTTTTGCACAAACTATCGTAAAAATAGTTTATGCTCGATCATTGCAACACTTTTTTTCATTCTAATGACTTAAAATTGCTGTCATCACCCCTTTAAGACCATGAATCCAGGATTTTTGGAACATCTGTTCCTTTCCAAGGGTTCTGTAAACTCGGCGCGTGTTGTTGCACACTGTTTTCGGCAATAGTCAGCCCGCCGGAATTTCCGACGCGTCTGAATCAGCGACCAAAACAGGGTATGCTTGGCAAGCGAAACGAACTCCGGCGTAAGCCGATTAATTTGAATTTTCCCGGCCTCCGATGATACCGTTAAAAAAATCAGGCGTTTGATTTCGAATAGTTTCGACATTCTGGCCCTTCATTACACACAACAATTGATGCTAGGTTAATACATTACGACGTGATACTCGAATTTTTAATACCAAAATGTGATCTCTCCAATTCCACCCGCTCTCCCGTCCGTCAAATCGTAGCCCCGTGTACTCGACAGGATTTGGGTCTTTGATTAAACAATCCACCACCACTTGCAGTGGCGCGTCTCTCTCTCTCTCTCTCTCTCTCTCTCTCTCTCTCTCTCTCGCTCTCTCACTACTTTTCCACGCGAATTTCCACCCGACCGCCACCCACCGGGACGGCAAACAGTCACGTTTTTTATGTTGTCGAGGCGGATTAATCGGCCGTGTAAGCTCAACGGGCGGGGGTTATTTGGAGCTTACCGTTGCGCAGTAGCTATATTGGCTTGACTATATTGTTTGATTGTTTAGATTAATACATTACGCTATGTAATCTTCGTGGATGTTCAGACCTTGAAACTTTTTTTGAACGGCTTTTTTTATATTATACGAATTTTTAAGCCGATTGTGTCGAAAAGTTATTCCTTTAAATTTTATAGAGGTTGCTTTTATTGATTTCTACGAATTAATGATTATTTTTTTACCTTTAGATACCTTTAAAACGGCTTTTCTGCTGAAAAATGGTTTTTTCAGACTTTTTAAACGTCGAAATACGGCACAACCAACCCTAATCGGTTTTTCCGGTAATAAAGTGCGTAGTAAGCTTCTAGATTAATCGGTAAAACGCGTTTTATTAAAGTTTTTACCGTAAAAGTTAACCAATAAGATCTATTTCCATTATATACTTTTATTTTTCTATTAAAAACCGGGTTAACTCCTAAAGTAAAACGAAATCAGGTTAAATCATCAATTTCCCCCCACTCCCACGCCAGACTTACGAAATCCCCTTGACTTTCCTACGCTCTGTGGCATTTGTTTGCTCAATTCTTTTTTTTGGCCCGCTGAAACCAAAAATTTGCCACCACCCCCTCGCGATCAGATGCGGGCAGCCATGTTCGGATTCGGACGTACGGAAGGGCACACCCCTTCATTTCCCTCCACGACTTTTTGCGTCTCTTGTTTCGGGAGTAAGGGAGGAAGCGGAGGAGGACGAGACAAACTTTGAGGGCTCGAGGCTAGGGTTACGACTTGAAACACGGAACGGGGCGAGACAAAGCGGCACTTGTTACGGAGTTCCGGTCAGGAAGTAGAGGGATATCATTGCGGGTTTTGAGGTTTTAGGGCTTTGTCGACTTTTTTGTTCTCCTACCTTAAAATTATAACGATGTAGGTTCGTAAGACTTTTGAAGGAGCTTGGGAAATGCGGAATTTTTTGCTTTAGAAGATCAGACATTTCTCAAAATCGTAGTTTTCCGGAAATATCACCGGAAATGGGCTTTAAAGGTGCAGCGGCAAGGTCATCTGTACTTAAAAATTTAATTTTTGCACCGACACCCGCCAAACTGTCTCATCTAAACAATTTTTTGTCTGAAATTGAGCTACACCGTCGAAATTATCAGTATTTTTTGTTCGAAATTGCGATTAAAGAGGGCTAATCAGGTTTAAATAAACTGCTCCAAAAGTTATAGAAAACATCATGAAACTTCGTTCCCACATCCCGCTCCCCAGTTCATCGTGCGAATTTTTAAAGAAAAAAAGCCAAGGGCTAGCTCGTTGACGCGTGTTTCCGCGAGGCTCTCGAAAATCCGCCCCTCTGGCCCTCTCTCTTTCTCTCTCTGCTCTTCTGTGTACGTGTGCAAACACTTTTGCACACAAAAATTGACCACAATCGACTTCAACAGGGGGCCTCTGGTCGGGGGCTTCGATTACCCCACGATTTTGCATTTTAAGTGTTTCTGGGTTTTTGGAGGTCATGGAGCTTTTAGTAAAAGAAGCAGCATCCTATCTGCAATTCCTAGTGTTCCATAACTTGGCATTAAATGAATTTTTGGCCCTTTGATACCTCAAGGCGGCTAATTGAGATTTAGAACGCTTATCTGCCAACATCACCCCTTCCGTATTTATTTACTTTGTCCTCGATCACTTGATCTTTGGCAGCTAGAGAGAGAGAGAGAGAGAGAGAGAGAGAGAGAGAAAGCGTTTGTGAGGGTTTCTAGGTGCCATTCGCTTAGAAAAAAATTGATAAGGCGAACTTCTTGAGCTTGATAGGTGCCAAGGATTCGCTTTTTTGAGTAGTTCGAGAGAAGATCGAGATCTCGCGCTTTTGGGTTGGGAGAACCCCGTCGCTTCTCTTTTAAGCAACTTTTCTACTTGTTAAGGCATCGTCCAATAACCGCTGCCATGCTAGAATGCCTAGACCGAAAATGTGGAATTTCCAAAGGCTCAGAATCAGCTGTTTTCCGCGCGAACGGCGACACACGCGGGGGGTGACAAGCCTTCGCCTTGGTGGGATTGGGCCCAGACTGTTGGTATCTCTCTCTCTCTCTCTCTCTCTCTCTCTCTCTCGCTCTCTTCGGCTTCATCTTCCGAATGCTTCCCCTCATCCCCCGTTCGAACCAGTCTGTCTGCCATCCACGCCTCGGCTTGCTATCATCAACTATGATCTGCCCAGATGGGATTTGACTGGCTACATGTACAATTTTAAGTTTTTATAAATTTCCATCAACACACCGTTATCTATGAATTTTAATCCTTTTCAAATTAAATTTTAGACTTTAAATGCGTTCAACGCATTTTTGAAAGACGTCGTATTTTTCTGCTTTTTTACCTACAAAATTTAAGCTTCTAGGATTTGGCTTATTTAGATTGACTCTACAAATGTTTTGCCAATTTTTCTCGTAGTTCCTACGCAAATAGGAATGACTCGTCGGCCAATATTTGAGGCGTACTTGCGCTCCTTGTTTGGGGTCCTGTTTTGTCTGTGCCTCCAATACCTAAACTGCTCGAAAATGTCTGGTTTTCATGACGTTCCGGAGGATTTTCGTATTTCAGTGCGAATTTGCGCTAATATGCATTTTCGACACAATTTTAGAAAGGTTGAAAACCAATGGTGCCTGGATTCAGGAATTTTGCTTGTTATGACCCTCTTTTTCGACCTACCATCTTTTCTTCTCTTTTTCTTATCTGTTGAATTTAAATTTAAAAAATTGTTGCCTGTATTGAAGCGTATTTTTCTAGTTAAAACAAAAGCTAAAGATCCAAGTACGTAACGTTTTTTTCAAAATTTAAAAACCGCGGACTTCCGGATTTCAGATCATCCGAATTTACCGTTTTATTTTTCGTTCGTATGCCCATTTTTCCGACTTTCCGCAACCTACCTAATGATGTTTGCCATTCAGTGGATGCCATATAGTCGTAATCTCCGTCACTGTGGAAGAAGATGAGTTGGCGTCGCGAGTATTCGGGCGGAGGTCGCCCACCCGGCTGGCTGGGCGACGCGGCTTCGCTCAATTTTCCGAGTCAAAGCCGTGGGCTTGGCGGCAGGCCGCTGAGCTATTTGGCTGCACAACAAGGCGGAGGACATCCATTTCATGAGGAGCACCACGAAGATGCCGTTCCGATGGATCATCATGGTCGCGCGTCGGCGCTCAATTTTCCGTCGACTTATCGGGCGCGTGAAGGTGGGTGTTTGCAAATTTCTAAAAATTACTTTTCGAATCAACAGCGATAGATTACCGTCGTTTTAAAGGGATTGAGAAGCCATATAAAAGCTTAAAGGTAGCTAGAAGTCATATAAAGGCATCTAGAAGTTTCATATTAATAACACAAGTTAAGTTCTGATCGTTTTCAAGGTATGCCAGGGCTTGATCAGCGGTGTTCCAAAGTTTAGTTTTTTAACTAGTTCCGCAGGTTTGTAGGCCGATTTCGAGTCCCTAAATCCCATAGATTTATCGTCAAAACCCCGGTCCGTATTTTCTTCCCCCCACAACCATCCCTTTCGTTGGGCCATAAAAAGCGATATTCCTTTGCGACATGTGGCCGCCCTACACTAACCATGGGGGAGTAGGGCCCCCGGAAATCCATTCATTTCGACTGGCGGACAGGAGATCCTTTTGAAATGGCAGACGTAAAACGATTGGGGCACATGCCTTTCGATGCATGGGATGCTTTTCGGTATTCGAGTACGCAGCTGTTTTGAGCGCTTGCAGCTAAAAAATAAGTTGTGTTTTTAAAGGGGATTGTGGCAGCAGATCGCAGAACGCGTAGCCGGCGCGTTACGGTTGGTTCTAATTACTGCAAACTTCTAGTCCATTCATAGCCTACAAAAATTACAAGGACTGCCTTACCCCTTCCCTTAAAGTAGGCTAGGAAAGTAGGCGACCTGTCACCGTCCATTTAAAAAAAGATTTCAAGCATTTTTTTAGCGAAACCGATTGCTTTGCGGCCATTTCGTCAAGATTTGGTAACCTCTTGACGCTCGGAACTTTTTCTATCTCACTTGGTGCCATTTCCGGCCGAAACCTATAGCCAGGGGTCAATGGGGCCCGTTCACTATCCCGATCCATCAAAGGGCGAAGTTGTCCTCGCCAAGGGGGTGGGGGTATCAGTTGTCAGCTGCTTCGCTGGGGCCCTGGGACCCGGGGAAGTCCGCTCAAAAAGGGGTGATTTGGGGGAAATTGAGATTAACTACAGAGTAGGGTAATAAATGGCTTAAAATTAAAGCAGCTTGCCAGAAAATTGAAAAATAACCGGGCAAAGTACCTGCACGAAAGTCGAGATGGGAGGGCAAGCTAGCAGAGAGCATTGAGGAACTGGGGAACATCTAGTTTCGTGATCTTGTTTAGAATCTAAATCCAAAGTGATCTAAAAGCATAATGTTTTTTGTATTGAGATATATGCTTAATACACAAACTATTAATGCAAATTCGAATAAATTGACAAAAATTAGGACTATTGACTAGTCGCTAATTTTTTAAGTGGTCTTAGCTTATTGTCTTGCTTTAGATTTCCTAAATTTTGGCTTCTTAATAGCTTTAAAACGGGCAATTTGGAGAAAATATTCGATGATAAATAAATTAATGATTTTAGTAAATCATTGACGGAATCAACTCAAAGTTCGTAAACATGAATTAGAAAAATACGTTACGATGCGCTTCGCTGCTATCTGAAATCGCAAAAATTTGATAAAACGACAAAATTCAAATCAAACTTTTTTACCAGTAACTTGGTCCAATATTTTCAGGCTTCTCCCGGGACACCGGCCTAATGGAAGACGCCCTTGCTCACTCGCTCGAAGCGGAAAGTCTGATCCCAGGCGCGCGGCCGATCCCAGCCCAACCACCTCGTCCAGCCTCAGTTGCCGGACTGGGCCTTAGGCATGGTCCCTCTCCTCCCGCTCCTCCCGCCGGCCAGTTTAACATTTGGACGACGAACAGCGGTGGTGGTGTTGGTGGGGCTCAGCGGCAAGGAGGAGCAGGATCCCCTGCTGTTACTTCTTCTCCGCTACGCGACACCCCGCCCTCTGCCGCCCTCCGCGAGCTGCTCAATCGATACCCGTCGGCCAGACAGAACGTGCTCAACTACTCGCGGGTGGCTGGAGACGATATTCAAGACCGTAGTAGTCGCTCGGACTCGAATTCTGTATTCCGACCTAATTTTGAACCTGATCAGGGTCGATTCTCACCTAATTCCAATCAGCACTACAAATCCGGGCGAAACTACGAGCTACAACCCGGCCACTCTGATACGGGGAGATTTTCGCCGAATTCAAATTCTCGTGCTCCAGTGAACTCTGGCCGTTTCTCACCTCCGGGGCGGCACTACGAGCCACAACCTGGACGACTAGAAACCGGAAATTCTGATTCTTCGGGACGTTTTTCACCGAATTCCACTCAAACTACAAACTCCATATACCAAAAACAGCCTCAAAACGCTGGGTATCGACAGAGTACTAGTAGATTTGAATCCGGAAATCCTCAAGATCTCCCCACTTTCTTCCAGAAAACGTTAAACTCTGGGCTATTCGAACCGGAAGCTCGGACTGCCGTAGCTGCACCTCATTTTTTCGAGAAATCACTGCAAACTGGGCTTTTTGGGCCTCAGAATCTCTCTCAAGAGCCCTATTCCACTCGTCAAGTGTATCAAAACGTACCTTACAATTCTGGTACCCAAGTTCCAACCGGTACCCTCCAATTCCGTCCTACTACTGACGAACGGGGTTTTCCAACGGTTGAACTAACCGGCCCGAGGAGAACGACCTCACTTCCGGTTGACGAATTTGGGGACGAGCTCCGCCGATTTAATCAGCTCTCAAATTCCTATCACGAATTTTCCGAAAAACCGCATTGGCGTGAAGAGCGGGGTTTTCACACGCTACCCAGGAATTTTGAAGAGCCGAAGTACCATCCGGGAGTGACGTACAGGGAGACGGTAACTACTGAGAGATCCAACGGAGCTGGGCCTACGATAAGGGAAACCCGTACTGTGGCGGATTACGGTAGCGGACCACAAACGACTGTGGTAAAAACGACGGTACCGGGGAGACAGCCTGGGAGCCATACCCAAAACGGTTTTGCGACGCAACAAGCCCGACCGGGTCAGCCCCAAAATTTCTCTTTGGACGCTTTTGTGGATGAGGTGCTGGGGGACGACATGAATCGCTCGACGAATCAGTGGCGGAACAATTTTGCGCAGGTGGGAATTTATAAATTGAATTAATTGATATAGCCTAAAATTCGGCATGAGCAAAATTAAACTAGCAGTAATTTTTTAGTACCTTTCAACCTGAAAATGTATAAATTTTTCTAAATTCTCGTTTTTCCAATTTAAAATACTGCAATTTTATTGCAAGTCTCTTAATTAATTCTTCGGTAATACATTGATAAACTTACAAAAAGAGCTTTTGAAGTCCCGAAAAACGATAGATTTAGTATATTTGTCTTATATAAAATTTTGATGTTTAAGGCTTGAATTTTCAAAAATTTTAAAATTATTCTTTTTTTCTAAATTTCATTTTTTAAATTTTCCAATGCTTGTTTTCGGCATTTTAAGCCCTTCTTGAATGTATATTGAGAGATTTATCGCATGGTCTAGCTTGGCGCTATTTTAAATCTAAATTTAAATAAGTTTATGGATAGCTCTGGTTGCTATAAAAATAGAAGCCTATTTTATGGAGTGGAGCACTACTTGAAATCTAAAGTTTGATGAGCGAAAAATACGTTCAGCCAGGTTTAGAAATTAAAATGACGGTTTAAGCCAGTCGATTCAATGCATTCGCGTAAATTTATGATTGGCTTAACGTATCAAGCGTCTAATTCGTTGAAATCATTAAACAAGCTGCCAAAAAAAATAAAACCTTATTTTTTCAGGTGCAAGAGAAGTTCCGCGGTGCCGAAGAGTCCAGCCCGTCGCCATCATTCCCCTACGTTAATGGACAAAATGCCACTCTGGCCAAAAGTCCCTCCCACCATGAAGTTCAACAACATTCGGGCATTGTCCCAAGAGACCAGAACGATACCCCAGAATTCCGGAAATCACCCCAAATCACCCAATATTGGGAGAACACGCTCCGCTCCACCACGCCAAATCAGAATGGGAGAATGTCAGCTGCGGAACGCCTACAAATGCTACACGAGGATCCAAATGACCCGCCCAGAATCCCGCAGCGGATGGGATCCAGTGAAGCGCTAGCAGCGAGAAAGCTCCAATTCCAACGGGAAATGGAGAGGACCCAGAGTCCGCAGCCCTACAAATTCCAGCCGATACGTATTCATACTAATGGCGGTCCAAATTTTGCTACGTTAGATTCAAAAACAGCTGGTGTAGCTAGATTCCCACTTGAGGAATTTACGTTAAGTCCTCCTCGACCACGTCCGAAAATCCATTCTCCATCTCCAGATCAGCTCTCGGAATCAAGTAGCGTCTACCAGATGCCTTCTGGTCTCCCTCACCCAAAACCGAAACACAACATCAAGGAGCAAATCTACTACGCAGGACTTCAGCAAAATACCTTGCCGAGAAGTGGTCTAAGAACCTCCCCGAATTTCCCGGCCCCTAGCGTCGGGAGCGTGACGAGCAGGATCACGGAGTTTGAGGGAAGACCCGGTACTCCTACACTGCAGCTCGGAGGAGCAGCTTTCCAAAATGCCCAGGAGCGAGAACCGGGGCCACTGAGCCCGAGAACAACGGTATTCCGGAATAACCAGCCTGTCATTAATATGGAGATGGGGAACTCGGGGAGGTCGACCCCGATCCCGACAATGTTTGAATTCGCGCAACCGGAGATTAGGATGGAGCACAGGCAGCATCAACCGCAGTTGCCGCAGCAACATCAGCAATTTCATCAGCAGCATCAACAGCAGCAACAGCAACATCAACCGGAAGTGCAGCGGGTTGGTTTTTACATTAAGAAGCTCTTAAAGTTACTGAAACCTGGATTGAAATTTACCTATAGCTGTTTGAGACACATTTGATAGTCGTTTCAGGTTTTCAGGCAATTTGAGAAACTGCACTGTTTCAAAAAGGCTATTTCCAGCCTTAAAAACATAGCATTTTGCTCTAGGATAGACCTTTAGAGTTTATAAATTTAACGTTGAAGCTGCCCAGAAATATCGATTTACGATGTACTAACAATTACTCATGGATTTTCCGTGTAAAATACTACCAGAATTTCTATAACGCGATTTATGACCTATCGAAATCCACATATCTTCAAGATCTGATCATTCCTTCTTTATTCACCGTTTCTAGTCCAATTGACAGTTTCCAGACTAGCTGCGGAAATTTTATGGGTTTAGTCGTTTTTACTGACTCTGAAAAGAGCAACCTTGTACTTTACCTATACCATCCATTTCGAGCAAAATTTGATCAATTACCTGGAGAGCCGATCTGTTTATTAGGATCCAGCTACGGTCGAGCCATGTCGGTCCCGCATAGTGTTATTTTTAGCACCCAGTCTCCGCTCACATCAGTCTTTTCTTCCTCTAGATCGTTGCGGATCTGTTTGCCCGCCTAGTAGAAAAATGTGATCCTCTCGGTTTTTATCGATGCCTTAGGATGACCACCCGGCTGGGGCTGGGCGCCGAAAAATATTTTTAGCATACGAGCCCGATGTCTCAGATTTCAGAGAGCCGGGCGGTAGTGGAGTTCACGAAATACTTTTTAGGGAACGTCTGGGCTGCGAAATTGGCGTTTTTCAGCCTCACAGTTTTTGTCGGTCATCGCATTAACTTTTGAAAAGCGGCTTTAAATTCCTTACAAAAATTAGAACAAGCTTAAAAAAGATATTTTATTTTTATCATCTAGATGTCCATTAGACCCGATTCTAGCATTTTTCACATAATTTCAGTTCCCAGGAAATCGGAATTTCAATTTAGTGGACTTGCCATCATTTTTAGGATTTTCTGAGCACCTTTAAGAGTTGATCCAAGACTTTCTAATCATGTTTTCGTGGATTTAAAAGTATTAAATTCTATATTAGCAGGATGCGCCTTTATGCAGCTATTTTTCCGACCCGAGACTACGTTCCGCTCCAATTTGCACCTCCCCAAACCTTCAAAACACTCTTCCCCCCCTTCAAGCATTTTCGGGCCACTTCAAAAGGAGTATCCCAGTTCTATTAGTACTTACTAGCACAGGGGAATCCCCAGCTAAAAAGATGGCCCAGGTGGCCACTTGCCAATGGCCCCAGCAAGAGCCCCCAAGTCCGGTGTAATCTGGAGTGGCGCGTAGGGGCCTTTTGGCCCCTTTAGCCCCACTGAAATATGGGCAAAAATACGGGTGGTCTGTGGCTGGGCTCGAGCCTCAAATTCCAGCGCCAGCCGTACAGCCAGCTTCTTTCCTGGCTGGTGGCTGATCAATTTGCACACACCGGAAACCGGAGAGGCGCCCGGATTTTCTTTTTGGGCTGCTGTTCCGGCTTTTCGGCTTTTCCTCTTACTGATCTTTCGGATCTCATCTTTCGGGGGTTTTGGCATGATTTAGGGGCTTGCCACTTGGTGGGGCATGGCTGTTCATAAGCCGAGATCGAGAGGTAACGCCGTAGTGTTTGGACACGGAAAATTTTGCTGAAAGCCGGATTAAAGGGAGTGTGACAGCTAGAAATTTTGGATTTTCTGCTGACCAGGACGCTGACAAATCTTTTTTTTCAGCATGCTTCCGTAAGTAACGATAGGAGAGAGAGGGAGACAGAGATAGAGAGGGAGAGAGAGAGAGAAATGAAAGAGAGAGAAAGCGAGAGAGAGAGTCCGAGAAAGAGGGAGAGAGCGACATAGAGATGCAGAGCAAGAGATGGAGAGTGAGAGAGGAGAGAGATGGTGAAAGAGAGGTGGGGGGAGAGAGAGACAGCGAGAGAGAATGAGAGAGAGATACGGCCACAGAGATAAACTCATTTTTAGTAAATTTCGGTTTCTCCCAGTTTCACACCTTTCTCAGATTCCCCCGATATTGACGAGTTTAGCAAAACGGGGTTGACACCCCCGATCGAGGTCAACCCTCTGAAAATGGTGATTGATACGAGTTTTGTGGTCATGATGCGGGAGGAGGAGCAGTGGGAAATCACGGGGTTCCGAGAAATAAACAAAAAAGAGGTTTAGTGGCGGAGGTGCGAAACTGGGCGGCCGGAAAGTGTCGGAAAATCATATTTTATAGCTAAAGTTTTTGCAATTTGGCAGCTTCTTGAAACGTCATCCAAATTGCAGCGTACCCTCAATTCCGCCACATTTCGTAGGGGACATTCCCGCGCTTGCAAAAAATGGGCTGCAATCTGAGATGATGCTCTGGCTCTCCCTCGCTCGCTCTCTCTCTCTCTCTCACACGCTCCTATAGATGGGTCCCATTTTCTGGTCGTTCCGATGCTTCTTCAGCTTTTTGAGCTGCATCTTTGGCTTTCTCTCCTATCCCGGTAGGGCTCATATTAACACCGAGTACGCCCGGCTGCTAAAAACGTCATCAAGCCATAGACACGCCTACATTGAAATTTAAGATCTTTAAACAGCTAGTTGGCGCGTGATATCGGAGGGTGTGGATGGCATGGCGGGCAAATCTTGGTTTGCCTGGACTTGCATTTCCGTGACCAGTAATGACGCTTTTACTGATAGAAAAATTCTCAGTTCTTGGTTAGATTTCAACCCAATTTTTAACTGGCACTCACGATGCCTTTAAGGCCCGATTTCTCGCTCTTTTGGCAATTTGTCTGCTTTTTATGACTTCACCATCCCTTTCCACCAAAACTCTCCCTTTGGGGCCCTTGGCATTCAGCCAAATCCCTCAAAATGTCGTGACAAAATTTTTGACACTGACCATAAACAGTGATATAACCCCTCACGCAAAACAAAGGGCGCACTTTGGGAGATTGGTCAAGAATTAGGGGCGAATAAAGCCTTATTTCGGGGGCTTTTGAAGACTTATCCATACCCAAATCGCCCTTTTGCGGGGAATTGGAAAGTTGGATTCCGGGGAGGGGAGTTCCAGTTTTCATTTTAGAATCGAGATTTGCCATCTTGGAACTTTTACAAAATTGATTTTTATGGTTAGGAACTCGCGGAATTTCGCGGATCTATCCAGTCTGTGACGCTGCATTACGATAAAATACGTTACAGTACGCTACAGTACGCAACGGTACGCCACAGTAAAACAATGTAAGCCTACGATATAATACGCTAATGTACGCTACTGTACGCTTAGTTACCTGTAGGACGAGACAGTACGCTACAGTCTTTTGGTAATCTCCAGCTTAAAAGTACGCATTTTCCTATGCACATACCCATGGCCCGTAGCGCACGGTGTGAAGAATGATCTGATTGCATTGTCTAGGTGGGGGGTGTGGGTGCTTGGGTGGCTGATCGCTTCTTCTTCTCCACTTTCCCGCACAGTCCCCCCTTCCCGACTCCTTCCACCCGATTTGCATATTCTTTTGTGCACGGCCCGGAACGGGGGGCGGCGGGCGGGCGCGGCGGGACCCTTTTGTCCCAAGGAAGGGCCGGCCGGGGCGAGACTGCCACTAACTGCCCGTCTCGACCTCGCTTTTTCTCAATAAGCCCCGTATTTTCCCCCTTTATACCTTATGGGAGTGTCGGTGCAGAGGAATTTAGCGGAAAATTGGGCAGGTAGAACCATATGCCATATTTGGGATTCTACGACCATTCTTGGCATTCTTGGAGGTATCGGAAGTATGGAATTTTACTGCGCTTACGGTACGAGCTTACTTGTAGATCAAGCTTCTTTTTTAATGCTTTAAACTGTATAAAAACACTTTACCGTTTTTTCGGAAACTGCGGAAGTAAGATATTTTTTCCCCAAGGGTTTTATCGTAACGTATACTTTAGAGCAATACAAGCCAAGTCTGGCTATGATTACGTTACGGCAAAACTTTTCTTGACAAAGTTTAAAGTATTGAAGCGTACTTTAAACAATTTCTATACCGATTTTTAATTGATTTGCGCCAGAAGTTAGATACATAATTTTCCCTCCGGGTTTTTAGTATCGGATGGTACTTTCAACTTAAGAAGTTGTATACCTAATTTCCTTTGATTATATATTTGGTTTTTTAGTTAGTATTGGAACGTGATACAAAACGTGTTGTATCCAAAATTCGCCAGAATTACGGTATTGCTACCCTTTTCCCGAATCCTTTAGGTATAAAACAGTGCCCTACTGCGTGACCTAGGCCCTACTAGCCATGTTTTTGGTATTAGAACGTACTTTAAGACGGTTTTATAGCTAATTTTTGCCGCTGCTACGATACTTATAGTAACTTATAGCCTCCATACGCTGGTTACCGCCATGCCATTAAGTTTGTGGCCCCCTTCCACCAAACGGGGGTCATCCCCAGCTGCACAAGCCGGCTGGCTGCTGCTGTTAGCCATCAGAGTGGGCAGGAAGGACATACCGAAAAACAGACAAACAACTGCACCTGCCACCCGGCCGAAACCTGGGTCGTAGATCTAGAGATGGATGGCTGGTTGGATCATGTCGATCGGGTTTAGGGGTTTTGTAGTACAAGTCTCTGAGACCCTTATCTTTTAAGATACCTTTATGTTCTAGCAGTCAAATTGTCAACGTACCACTAACTTTTTCTAATTATGACGATTTAATGTCCCTCCAAAATTTTAAGCTTTAAACTGGCGATTCTGAGTCGTTGTATCCTGACTCTTTCGTGCTTCTCGATACCTCCGCGGGCCAAAAATGACGTTTTTCCCTTGCTAATTTGTCCGGTAAGTACGAAAGCCTGTTCTCGAATGTAAAATCACATGGCTTGTCTTGAATAACCTAAGAATTCGATTAATTCAAACGTCAAAACCCCTCTGGCACCTTGCCAAAAATCACAAACCTTATGATAGCAAAATTACAATTAGAATCCTCTAGGGAAAAGACACCCAATTTTTCTAGAATTTTCTGCCCAAACCTGAATGAACAGCTTATTTTTGTGAATCCACGTGATTTGGCAGGTTGCCAAGCAATATCCTACCTTATATAATTTGGTCGCGTATCTTTGTGTGTGTGTGTCCGGCGCCAGGGAGGGCTACTTTGCATAATTCCAAAAAATACAAATTTCCTCATTCTGGCAAGTTGCACGCCCGGGTGTGGTCGGAGGAAGGGAGGGGCCCGAAGGACCCAAGCTATCGGAAAGTCAAATTTCTCATGCAAAAGCCGCATTCCAGCGACCAAGGCCCGCGAAGCGGGTTTTGGGCGCTGGTAATCACATAAAAAATTGAACCCTGAATCCCGAAGCATACCTTCCGAACCATTCGAGCTTTCTAGAAAATCCTAATGTGTAGCCTTTTTCCTATTTCAACCCCACCCAAAATTCGTCACCTCCAAAAATAGCGTGGCCTTAGAATTCCAATGCCAATTTCTCGAAAATTCCAAAAAAATGGAGCTAAATTTGGCTTATTTTTGGAACCACACAGAAAAAATACGAGCCCAGAATTCTTAGAATTCACGTTTTTCGGGAAATTCAGCAAAATTGGACGCATTTTTGGCCA